ACGTGCTGTTCCTCATCGTTTAAAGCCCACAAAATAGAAGCTCACGAGGCTTCAACACGCAAAAAGAGCCGCTCTTTAATACTCTGCGGAGAACGCTTTTAAACGATAAAAAGCACACGAAACGTTTCCTGTCCGATTTTACAGGCGCGCAGACGACTGCTGTAGACGTCTCATATTTTCCGCTGCGTTCAAGCAGCAAGACCTCAAAAGTCCGTTTTCTGGTTGTGACTCGAAGTACGAAGTTTCACCCCAGAAGCACGCGACGCTTTGACCAGGTTTGTTTTCGGGAGCAGGTTTCGAACGCTAACAGCTGGCTGCTCGTGTTTGGCGAGAGCCAAAAAATCCTGGAAGCGGTTCAGAGGTTAAAGCCAGGTCAACGTTTGCATCAGCCATTCTGGTTTCCACGAAAAGGATCCAGTGGCTCCCAGGAGCAAGGGCTGACTTGCTCCTGTCTCTGCTTTTGGCTCACTTTCTCGCTTTTCCTCCCTCCTTCCCCATTTCCCTTCCTTTTGCAAGTTAATGTTTACATTTATTACTGCTTTTTATGGCTATCACAAGAAACGCCGCTGAGATAAAACAGTGCATTTTACCATTTCCAAAAAAAAAAAAAAAATTTAACCCTTTCTCGGGCAATTTTCCTGCACCTTTTCTTCAGCTGCAATTGCACTTGTCACTGCCTAATCTAGTGCTTAGGTATCGCGTTTATACATTGACTTCTAAAGTTCTTTAATAAAAAAATGGACAGTAAGATCGAGCCTTCTAGAGGAGAGGAAAAAATCAAAGAAACACAGAGTTGCTATAAATACAAATATTTATATCGTAAGCTTTTCTCCCTAACAAAAATTTTGACAACATCTACTCTTGCAAAGTTGCAGCCACTGAAGTTGGTTTGGGATGAGCTTAGCTATACCCAGTAGAGGAGCTAATTAAAGCTGAGCCTGCATTTGCAGCATCCGTCACAGGCAAAGGATTTTGTCCCGGAAAGGGTGAAAAATGCTGGAATTTGAAGGCTCTGGAACTTATAACAGGTTTGTTACCCTTTCAGCCTAAGAGGCCTGAACTTCCCGTTGCTATTAAGTATAAAATTTCAAAGCATGTCTGGTCTAACACAAGTGAAGCATTTGTTAGAGTGATCAGCAAGCATGAAATAGTCACTCAGTTAATGCAGATTAGAGATTTGTTCTCTAATGATCATAGAAATTATGTAACAGTTGGCACAGAAACGGACAGAAAAAAAAACTCCAAGGGGACAAGGAATCATAGAAAACCTGACTGTTTAAAGTTTGGTCTTTACGTCTGTTTTTAAACACCCCCAAATGCCCATTCTATACACCTCAACGGGTAGTTAGGCTCCTAACACAGCTATTTAGACGTCCAAAGAGCCACACTTAAATTTAACTTTGACTAGCTGATGCTGAGAAAAGTAACATATATGAGTAAAGCGAGCTTTAAAAAAGCTGTAAAAAAAACCACTGTAGGCTAAAAAAAAACACATTAAAAAAATGCAGCAATGCAGAATGGTGCAAGTCAAGGATCAAGTTCCCGCTTTGACCCTTCCTGATCTCTGAAATATTTTGCAAGGAGCATGTTAACCTTCCAGGACACACTTTAAAGCCCTTTTATTTTTTAAATGTGAAATATGGTTGTGATTAAGGGTTGTGAAATTTGGAGGTCGCACCAGTCACAGATCAGGACTAACACGTAGCAAAAATCAAGAGGTCTCTCCAAAATTTTAACTTTCATCATGACCGAACAAGAAATTGGCAGGAACAGCCTATTACAAAGATGCACTTTCCCAGAAGCGCATGAGCTAAGAGCTGAAGTTACGCTTGTTTGGGAGGAACAGGAGAGACCATGACTCAGGAAGAGTAGTAGTAGCTTCGACATGCAATTCCTGCGTAGATTCACGCTTTTGAGGTACCACGTAAAGCCACTCGGAGCAAAAGTCACGTCACTACAGTCCTCTTTGCTGAGAACAAGCCGAGGAAAAAGAAGTTCTGCATCCAATAAAAGAGGAACGCGACTGAAACCGGAGCCCCGACCCTTTAGGAACAAAGGAGCCGATGGGTTTTTTCCCAAGCAGAGAGCAGTGAGGTATGGCTTGCTTTGTGCACGTGGACCATTTCTCTGCTCGATGCTGTGGTGAAAATAAGTTTAGGGAATTGCTGTCACGTAGAGAGCACCTTTCAAAATTATTGCACACCCAGCTCACAAGAGAACAATACAATAACGGCAAAACTGCACATTCATCTCCCCCGGGGAAACAGCCTCCCCTTGCTCAAGTTGACCTCACACCTTGCCGAAGACAGCAAAGGTACCATAAAATAGACTTAGTTGAAAGTTTTCCTATTTTTTTCTTTTTTTTTTTCCCCCCTGCTGGAAAATATGACTGGAGAAGACAATTTTCCTCACAATTTGTTACAGCCGCCCAGCTTCCATCAAATGCAAGAGTAAGAAGCTGTTGAAAATGCTGTTGTCAAAGTGAGGGCAGCGGCAAAGAAGGGGAGAAAGGTTCTCATTTTCCTTTGAGTGCTAACTCTAAAAGAAAAAGCTTTGCTTTTTTCAAAGATTTGAACAGTGCTTCTCCTTCTCCGTACAAACGCACTCTGACATCTTGCTGACTTTTTCCATCTGAGACGCATTAACGTAGCCTTGGGATAAGCCACCTTCTTTTATTTTCCAGTTTCCATGGGAAAAATCTAATCCTGACAAAAAACTATCTAAAAGGGAATCTTCCTGCAAATTTATTAGGGATGGGGGGAGAACCCTGTTTGACTCTTACTCTACCAAAAAAAAAAAAAAAAAACCTGCTATAGAGCTACTGAAAAAAGGTAGGATAGAAACTGAGCAAAAAGCTTCCACGACTCATCACATGAAGAATCAGGATCATGCTGACACCTCACTTTGACATAGGCGTACACCAAGGACACACTCACCTCCCCAGACCTTCCCTTGGACAAGAAACTCCAGGTGACCAGCTAACTGCAGGGATCTCCATCCTCATCGCCTTCAGGCTGGTGACTGTGCAGCAGCCACAAGGGGAGCATGAATTCAACATGAGAGCACAGCACACACTGGCAAATCTAATTAGCAGGATGAGCTCCTAAAGAGCAGCCCACACAACTTCTTGCAAACTCTGCTGCTCTTCCTCAGGCTTCATTCAAGTCTTAGACCTAACTTATAGGTCTGCTAAGGAGTAAGACCTAGCTTAAATCATACATGCGCTTTTACTCACCGTGATTCTCCCACACAATCTGGTTTTGAAGGGCTGTTGTTGGACAATGAAGTTCTGACCATGGGGCAATGTGAACACACAACGACGTGTGATACCGCGATGAATTTTCCCAGAATTCATTAACCTACTTTGGTAGGCAGCTCAGAATAGCTTACATATTTGCATTTTAAGATCACGCAGGCAGAAGTGCAACAAAGGTTCCGGTGGCATACGGGAGCTGAAGCTAAGCCCAAATTTCCTGGTTAGCCAAGCAAAATATTAATCATTAGCACAACTAACTTCCTTAAACTGTCAACCCTCCCCTCTCTTTTTTTTTTTTTTGGTCAAAGTAGCATCTTCTCACCCAGACAAATATTCAACGTTAAAAACATGGAAAGGACACCCAAACTAGCACCAACCTGCCTGAATTTCCATAGCAATTACTCTTCTTCCATTGTACCCTTACAATTATTGAGCAGAAATTAATCTGCATATGTTTTCCTCAAGATCCTTTGCATAAAAAGCTCCTCAAATCTATAGATCATGCCAACAAAACAACCTACTATAGCAACCACAGGAACGCATCAACATTTCTTTTAACATAACCCTGCTCCTGCCTACTGCTGATCTTAAGAGAAATAGCCATTTTTGAGGCACTCGGTCACCGATACAGGTGACAGTGATAGTCGTGGGGCACAGAAGGCAATCAGTCTTACGTACCAGCCTCAGTAGCGCTCCTCCTTTAACACACAAATATCAGATATGCACATTCAGACATAAAGTCCTATTTTTTAACAGACAGAGAACCAAACATGAGAAGCAATACTCCCAGTGAACAGCTGTTCTAAAATAACTGAATCTAAAATAATCCTCATCGTTTCTCTAAAAGGACGATATCAATAATAGCACGTTAGGAAGCATTACAAAAATTAACTTACAGCAAGTGTAACACAAAAGAGCACGTTTCACAACGAGTCTCCCTCTTCCCATCAAATATCGGTACAGAAAATTCCACAGTATGTGAACTGTGAATGTGACAGCAGCACCCTTCTCTTTCCGCTCCCATCAAGGAACAGCGGTCACGGACCGAACAGCAATAGGGGGAGAAAAATGCTAATTTTAAATAAAAAAGTTTAAAAACAAAAAAACCCACCCCTAAACTTACTTGAAGTAGTAGGAGGGGATGGTAGCCCCAAATTACAGCCACTGCCTGGCACTGAGATCATCCCATCTTCCTTATCGGGCCAAAAAGCTTGTCTCTCCCCAAATTAGCATCTCTACATTCATAAACGAGCACGGATAGCAGTTGAAGGAGACCATACACAACAACAGAAACACTTAGTGGAAGAAATAATGTAACCTCCCTAGAATTAAAGGGGGCAAAAAATTGTTGAGAAGAAAGGTTGCAATAAGCCAAAAAAAGTAAATCAGAACAGATGGGAGGAAGAGGTGAAGCAATAACAAAAGCAGAAAAAAAGTAAACTCTTCTCCTCTGTCACCACTTAAACATTTTCCAAAACTTTGTGTTGAATAATTTACGCTATTATCAACCTCATTCATCCCAATTTTCACCTCTCTAGAGTTTTACCTACGAGAATGGAAGACGAGGTGTAATTCACCTCGGTTCCTGAAGTATCAACTCGAATAACGCAAAACCTTTCTGCTGCTTAGCAAACACACGCGTCTTATCTATTAAAAAAGCTTGTTAAACCAAACCAGTTGATTACTGTCTGCCTTAGCATCGGAGGGTAGCTGGTGAGAACGAGGAGGAGATTGCGCTACTCACCTATGATCCCGCTGTCCCTGCTCTCAAGGGTGGATGTTGGGCTGGTGACGGCACCATAGCTGCAGTCCTTGGCCGTCACGTTGGTGCTGACGGGAGGCAGGGTGGAGCAGGGGCTGCTGGCCGGCGGCGAGGCCGTGCTGCTGGTCAGCGTGGAGCAGGGGCTTATCCGCTGGGTTACGGCCGAGGTCTGCAAAATTCAAATCAGGAACACGTCACTCAGCGCCATCGGTCACCGCGGGAAAAGAAATCCTCCGGGAACTCGCGCATGAGGATTTCCCTCCCCGACTGTAGGGAGGGAAAGCGCTTTGCTGTTCAAAACGAAAATATCCACTATGCCTCCCCACATCCGCAGAAAAAAAACGTAGAAACGCTGGCTGTGTTTTCAACCTCTTTCCTTCTCGTAATGGGACAGATTCCAGCTTCCACATTCAGGAGGAAACCCAGAAAACAAGTAAAGCAGTATTTACCATAAGCCTTATACCATAGTTTATTACAAAATGTTAGCGTTTTCTTAACGTTGAGCTGAAAGTAAAAAACAAATAAACAAGAAGTACAATACAGTGAGGTAAACTTGTGCCTCTATCTGGGTGGAGCGCCTCAGGGCGATAAGTATATGGTATGATCTCACCTTTACTCATGGCAAGACCCATTATATACAGGAAATCCTATAAAGACCTCTGTGCCATTTCCATCCGCTCGGAGATCTCAGCGGGACTGCCAGTTTTCTTTTGCCCTGTAAACGTTTCTTCCATTCAAGTCAAGCCACAATGGTTTTACACCCTTGCAAAGCGGAAGTTGGAGATCCCTTATCTAGATACGAGAAAGCCCTTCCCTGGACAGAACGGCTTTCCCCACCCAATAAATTTTTCGGAAAAACGGACTGGCGAAAAGGTTGCTCTCCAAAGACAGCACAAAACTAAGAATGCAGCAGCATTAAAAAAGACTAACAGTTATTTTGGGAAGAACCCACAAGAAACTGCGTGCAAGAATCTCAGAAGAGCTTATACACTTAATACCGTACACAGAGATTCATTTATTAAACCAAAAAAACTACTCCTGAATCCGGTTGAATATCTATCCAGAGAATAGTTGTGATTTAACACAGATCCTTTGTTTTAACCGCAGGCTACTGGCAGCGCAACCCACCTGCGTGCTTCCCTAGCAAAAGACACTCTTCTCTGAAGATATGCCCTAAAATATCTGTATGAAATAAAAAAAAAAAAAAATTTGCATCGAATTACCGAAGTAGGGCAAGGACAGAGGATGGCTCACTGACCGTAACACTGCGAAGGTGTTCTTGTTTACCTAACATTGCAATTTAATAAACATTACACAGTGCTTCACAGCCATCATGCAGAAATCACTTGATAATCCCTTCAAAACGCATAACTGCCTTTCACACTTCCTTCCCCAAAACCAAAAATGTCAAATTTCAAGTTTCTTTAAATTTGCAGCAGAGCCTTTCAGAGAGGTTTTGAGCAGAGCTATAAGAAGTGAAATAAATATAGAGAGAGACTGACACTGCTGTTTCCCCAGCACGTTCCTCCGATCCATCTCGGCGGGCAGCAGAGATGTGTCCGTGCCACTGGGGCACGGAGGCGATCCCACCCTGGGTCAGGCCAAAGGTTCATCTCCCCGAGACGAGGAGGCGGGAGGCAAGAAGATCAAAAATGGACGTGAGCCTCCCTCAAATTTATTTTCCTGCCCTAGAGCAAGCAGCTCTACGGGGAAAACTGGCCCTGGCGATGCCTGGGGGAAGTATTTCGGGACTTGCCCATACGAGCTGGTCTCTGGCGGTGAGCAACCTGACCCGAGCCCCTGCAGGGGTTACTGCCATTCCCGCTGCGTTTGGCAGAGGGGGGTCCTGAACAGCGGTGGCTTCCACACTCAGAATTTGCTTAACTGAGACTTCTTTTATCCTCTGTGAATACTCCTCTAATAATCATATACATTTGTATTTCCTTTCTTTCATGCCATTGCAACCAGGGTGACCAAAAACCAGAGTGACCAAAAGAAGCATCAGACTTGCAAACTGCCCCGTGTTTGAAGTCTACTTTTTTTTTAAGCTTAAAAAATGCCTGGTATTGACTTTTTTTTTTTTTTTAAATAGACTATGTGAAAGATTTACTGGTTTCTAAATTAGAAAGCAGATCCCAGGTGTAGCTACTGGGAAGCTAGCTAATATGTCCAAGGAATCCCACCGTGCCTCGTAAAAATCCTTACTTGTAATGTAATCATCCAGCCATGTGAGGCAAAAGAGAGCATCCTGTACAACAGGCGGGCCTGAGAAACGGGGAGAGGCGAAACAGCCTGATCTCCCTCCACCTTCCTTCACTTTTATGCAAACGTGACTGCATTGATGTAACCACGATTAGATAATGTCCTAAGCCTGCATTAGCACGTTGGCAAATCAGGAAGGGAACGCTAACATGACACCTCCCCGGGCATGCTTTTACAAAAACAGAGAGACTGCAACACAGCAGCAACTGAACCCTGAAGTATTTCCCTAAGTGTGTAATCTCCTTGCAGAAGCCACATAAAATACCTTGGCAGCAAACGGGGCGGCCACCACCGTATCATCTTTGCAAGTCTTCAGGAGAAACAAACCAACGCTTTCCTCTCCCCATCCAATTTACCGTGCCACTAGGTGGATCACTGTTACTGCTATTTTCCATCATTTTATATCCTAGGCCCTTATAAACAGATGATTCCCCCCCCGCCCCGTAGCCTTCTAGGAATCGGAGGCAAGCTGACTGCTCTGTAAATGCCAACTCCCTGTATATTCTGGTTTCACACGTTCGTCATATCACCTGTCATGTGTCTTGGCTCTCCATGAACCTTTTTCATTTGCTCATATTGCAATCTTTTTTGGATGTCTAAATATTGCGTTGATTTTTGTGAAACCATTTTTAATTTCTGTAGTTTAATTTCCGATTACCTAATTAATTCTAGTGGCCAAATTAAAAGCTGCTTGCGAGTCAGGATTCAACATGAAAATGTTCTATGACTTTTTTTTCCCCTTAAAACTGCTAAGTTTTATACACTTTTCTTAGCATAACCTAACATGGGGCGCTCTTTTTGTATCACTGCCATCTATCAAGCAGATGTTTGCCCTGAGCGACCCACTACATTGAGACTGTCTCTTCTGATTTGTCCTGGGTCATTAGACTCCATCTACACACCTGAGCTATTAAATTATTAAATTAGCTTTTTCCAATGAACTGCCTCCAATACAACGCAGTACAGTTTCTGAGGTTCTGGCGAAGGCGGCCAGCAGCATCCTGGGCTGCATGAGGCACAGCGCTGGCAGCAGATCGAGGGAGGTGATCCTTCCCCTTGGCTCAGCCCTGGTGAGGACACTTACGGGGTGCACTGGCTCGCCAGGACGACGGAGACATGGACATACTGGGGTGACTCCAGCAAAGGACCACGAAGATGTTTAACGGACTGGAGCTCATGTCTTACCAGGAGGGGCTGAGAGCTGGGACTGTTCAGGCTGGAAAAGAGAAGGCTCCAAAGGGACCTTCTCCATGTGCAAAACACCCGATGGGGGGGAGTAAAGACGAGAGAACCAGACTCTTCCCTTTTCTTCCATTTAAACGGAAGAAAAAACTTCCTTCCTGTGAGGGTGGTCGAACACTGGAACCCCTGAGAGGTTGTGGAGGCTCCATCCTTGGAGACATGCAAACCTTGGACATGGATGGAGGCTGGACCAGATGATCTCTAGAGGTCCTTGCCGGCTTCAACTGTTCTCTTATTTTGCAGATTCCACTCTTTCATCGTTCCTAGCATCTAAGCATCTAAGTATTTAATGAGTTCACATTTAGGAACTGTCAGAATGAGAAGCATTATTACTATTATAAATTCTTTAGAGAAAGGTTTTTCTACAGCCTTGTTTCACATGGTAATTTAAACAAATCCCTGCTGAAACTAATCCCAATACTAACAAAATAACATCCAAAAACCTTAGAACACAAAAAAAAATTACACTTTAAAGCAAATTAAAATTCAGTGCAAGACTGGTACGCTCATCCTTTCTCCAGCTGATAACATCGCTGTTTCATGAAATGCCAAAAAGTGATATTCTTATATATTTATTTTTAGTGTTATCAATGCAGCTCCTTAAAAACAAGTTACTTGCAACTGGAAATTACCAAATAATACAGTATATCACTTTGCATTGACTGACATGTTTTATTTTTGTATTGATATATACAAACGTTCCCCTATGCAGGTTTTAAATACAAAGTTCCATTGACAGAACATTCTGTATTATTAGTGCTGTTGTGTCATCTTTCACATTTTCACTAAGCTTTGAAAAATTGAACTGTTCTGTCATAGCCTCATTGTCCTTTGTGCTTCGCTGGCAGCCAGTACAGTTAAAAAAAAGTTTCCAAGAAGTAGGAGAAAAAGGATTTATTCTTTGGCATTTGTGATCTCTGATTAAAGAAGGCATGATTAAGAAAGGCTGCACATAAAACACGCAATTTCATAGCAATCTGCATTAGAAAAGGTATCCTTTGACATATTTAAAATAAGGCAACTGAATGGAAATGCAACGTGTCAGATTTACAGATTTCGGCAGTTTTAGTGAAAACACCTCTATTCCTTATCTTCACTTTAGCTCAGCATTGGTGAGATTGCAAATAATTATTTTCGCGCTTGAGAAGGCAAAGCATGGTTAGAATAATAAGTAGCAGCCTAGTCTCAGCTTTTTATACAAAGAACATTTGCTTTGCCCAGACCATGTAAATTAATGAGTTAAAACCTAGCAAACTGTTTTCATTTTTAAAATTCAAGTGCAAACTAGTAGTCAAAGTCCCAATCAGATTTTAATTAATCAATGATTAGGAGGAGAATTAATCTTTGCAAATCCCAGAAATGGCTTGCTGCCTGATTTTCAGTACTATTTTATGCAAGGTAGTCTGGGAAGGAGAGCCAGGGAGGTTTTCAGGAGATCTGCACCCTGCAGCGCAGAAGTAGCTTTACATTGGAGCATATCTGAGAAGGGCTTCCCTTCAGAAAAAGCTAGCGCTTGATGGTGGGCACCCAGATGCTGGCAGATCTGGACAGAGCGGCACCCAACATAGCAAGGCTGCTCACCCTCCTAGGCAGAAGAGGATCACTGCAGCCATCCATGCCTCGGGGGAAAAGGGGCCTGGGAAGCAAATAATGAGCTCTTTGCACTCTATTTAGATGTCTTTCTCTCTCTAAACACAAGCTGTTCCAGGGCACTATTGCAGTGATGAAAGCTACCAGGGAAAAAGCAGGAAGAATGTGATTATTTCCCTCCACCCAGCCTTTGCGAAAGCATGGACGAAATACCACGTGCTGTTCTGGGCTCCCCTGCACGAGAACCTGACAAATGGAGAAAGTCAGAGGACGGCCACCAAGCCCGTTAGAGGAAAGGCTGAAGGAGGTAGGTCAATTCAGCCTGGAGAAGAGAAGCCTAAATTGCATCTACCTGTAGTTGCAGTCTTCCACTATCTATAGGGGAATATGGAGAAGACTCTTCTCAGAAGTGCCAAGGGAAGGACAAGAGGCTACAGGCACAAGCTGCAGCAAAGAAATTTTCCACTAGCTATAAGGAAAAAGCCCTTCACAGCTGGGGGTCCTCAAGCACTGGAAGAGGCCACCTACATTTTCCAGCCTTGGAGATTTTCAAAACTCGACCGGACAAAGCCTGAATGACATGGTTTAACGTTCAAGCTGGCCCTCCTTTGAGCAGGAGGATGGATCAGATGATCTCCAGAGGTCATTTCCAACCTAAAATAGCCTGTGATTCTAGGCAAGCACTGACAGCAGGAGATGCTCACAAAGAAAGAAAAAAATTAACTCGGTAATTGAGGAATCAGCTTCTCTTTATCTTCCCCAGCCCATGAACAGCATTCAAAGGCCCTGTAGAACTTTTTCATGCAAAAATTAGCACGCAGCCCAAGATATCCATCTATTTTAGAGCACAACTCTCTGCTGTTTTTCTTAAGATTTTTCTTTTATTTATTCTCCAAAGACATCTTTTACTTTTGAGAAAAGATGGGATTTTAATTTTTTTGCAAAAGGCAACAACAAAAGAAACCATTTATAGCAGAAAGCTCTGCTTAGCTTTGAAGTATTCAGCCCAAATATGTGCCTGTTAAAAGTACATTTTCTAGCACAATGTACAGTGAAGTACATTTCAAATCAACCCCAACTTGCGTTAAAAAATGAATGAAATCATCAAAAGCTTAATGAATGTGCTAAAGAGCAAAAGTTTTAGAAAAACCGCATTTCTTGGCTCTCAAGCGTGCTGCATATTAACCCTTTAGAGCCCATGTGGAAGACAGATGACAAACCATTTTTCGGTTCAATGTACAGTGCAGGACTGAGACGCTCCAGGAGGCAGCCCTCCACTCTGCTCACCACGAACCGGCTCTCCTGGCCAGCTTGCTTTCGCGTTTGCTACGGGAATACAACCTCCATCCTCCATGATCTTCCTCTACGCCGCTGATATTCTTTTCTTTGGATTTCAAACAGCAACATCATCTCATCTTCCCGATTTTGCTCTAGGTTCTTCATCAAGTTGATCCAATTTACATTGCTTACTCTGACCCTGCATTGCTCTTGCACTAGCAAGAAACGCCTTCATGTTCTACCTTTAAAACTTCTGAGGGTTAAAATCTGGCAGTGACTTGCACTGTTAACAGTAACCAGAGATATTGAAACAGTACGACCCAAGCCACCGGAAAATAAAGATATCCCGAACCAAAATTCTAGATACTTTGAAGACTGTTTCAAATCTTTAGAGAGGGGAGGGGAAAGGCCACTTGCACAGTTAGGAGATGTAGCTAAAATTATTCTGACAATATCAAGCCAGTATAGGACACAAAAATGACAGGAAAACGCTTTTGCTCCATTTCAAAGGCCAGCCAGCTACTCGCTGATAAGAAATACTAAAAGCACTCCAACTAACAGATTAGAAAAATACCACAATCAATAAGTACAGCTTCCTGTAATTCTGATGTGGCTCTCATGAATACCTTGGCTGATTATCGTCCCAGACTTTAATTTATTCCTAAATGGTACACACGTGTGGCCACATACACGGTGTCCTGGAAGGAAGCAAGGCGCTGGACACACAACAAGGTAGGAGCACGGGGAAGGGCAACGAAGAACGGGCGCACACAGTACCACGGGAATTTAGCTTTAACGCGTGGAGCTATGTTCTTGGCTGACTCTTTTAGGACCTTAAATCAGGTTGTCTCAATTGGGCTTCTGCTTAAGGTAGGTGGAATGAGTACGCTCAGCACTTGTGCAAAGTCATGCAATCACTCTGTAACAACAACAAAAAAAAAAAAAAAAAAAGAGGGACTTGCACCTGGGCTTTGAGTTTCAGTCTGTTGTGCTATAAATTGGACTATCCTTTTGTCAGTTAAAAAAAAAATCGTTTCTTAATTTCATTCTCACCTTATGAACACTGCTGGGAGTGGAGGTCTGGGGGGCAGGAAGGAGAAATTCGAGCATTTTCCACAAAATCTACATTTCAGCCAGAACCAGGGCCTTACTGCTATGGTGCTTTTCAGCCAGACAGAGAGAGGATTTAACAAGCTTTATCACAATAACGATTTTATGATTTGGTTTCTGTATCTGTTTTGAAGCATGAAATCATGATCTCAAGCAAACATGAGCAAAACCTGTGACTATCTATAAAATCAGGATATTACTACTTACCTGTCCCTCCTGGAAAATTTGCAAGGCTTTACATAACACCACTAAAATGCTTTGGAAGCCTTTCTAACATCTAAGATGCCATGGAAATCCAGATTATTTTGACCCCTATAATCTGATTAGCAACGCTGCCCACTCCTACGACGTTTGCAGCAACAGAAAAACAGCAGCAGCCGTTTCACGCAGCAGCAGCAGCTGATCCCCAAAACATGGAGTGCTGGAGAAGAATGATGATTCACTGTTTAACGGGGAGATAGGACCTTCTACCTCATAACAATCATTTCCCCGTAATGAGACACTCGGCTGCCATGTAATTAGACAATAACCCCTACCTCACACGCTGCAATTTAATCATAATCGAGAGAGTTACTGCTGCAAAACCAAGGAAGAGATGGAAGAGATCGCGTACCTGGTTCTCGTCCTGCACCTCCATGCTGTACTGGGGTCCTGGCTGTACCTCCGTGACTTTCTCTCCCAGGAGGAAGCCCAGGCGAGTCATGAGTGTATTCGCTGCCTCATCTACGGATGGAGGGGGTCCCAGCTCCTGCTCAGTATCACCTACGCGGGAAGAAAAACAAATACATTTTGATAGGAATTGTTTAACTTTGCTGTCGCTCACCCAGTATTTTCACCAACAAAACGCATGCTGTAATTTTAGTAGCAGCGTTTTCCAGCTATTCGTGTTATTCAAGCCTGTCTTAAACGTTATTTGCTGGTCATTAATTAATTTTGGGTTATGCATTGCTCAGGTTGTCAATACACGTGTCTAACGCTGGCTGTTATTTCTTCTCTCTTTGTGGGTTGTATCCTCTACACTTCTCACCGAGAGAAACAGAGTCGTCTTTTTCCCTGTAATATTAACGATAAAGCTCTCTAGAGCCATCCTGGAAATGAGATTTCCTGGAAATAGCAATCGAGAAGTCAAACTGCTCCCTCTGTTCTCTCCTATAGCTGCTACCTCCACGTTCCTCGCAGAGAATCCAGGACTCTATGTGCCATTTCGTTCTCCTGCGATTAAAGCGCTACATGACGTCTACGGCAGCAGGCCCCCGCTACTCGCTGCTTAAAAGGAAAGCATAGGATAGAAAAATATGTACATCTCCCATTAGCGCTTGCCGTTTCTGATACGCTCATGGTTAGCTACAAAGCACTGTTCTCCAGAGACCGTACTTCCTTGTGAAATCATATTGCGGGCTACGATACAAAGCAAAGTCCATCTACCAACTCCACATCAAGTCTATGAAATCAGTCAAAACCCAAAAAACTAACAACAAAAAACAACCCCCCCAAAAACCAAACACACAAAACCCAACCACCACCCTGAAAACGTATCCTAAAATGTTTATGCCGTTCATAGGAAGAGCAGCACATACAAGCTTCCTCATAACAATTCACACATGGAAAAGGCATGGTTTTGGCAGTTCCCTATCTTTTAATTTTAAAACAAATATTTCTGGATATTTTTTGACTTGCAGGGCTGCAAACGTAACTCAGGTTCCGAAAGTCAAATTATTCCCCGTTTATATCGACAGCGATATTAAAGCCTGAAGGTCAAGTTCTGGCCACCGAAGCAATCCGGAGTTTTGTACAGTTGTAAGAGACTAATTAGGATTTGCAATTAGACTACAGTTAATTATTCATCTGATAATGTACAATCTGGAAGAGAGCCCATCTCCATTTCCCCGCTCTGTCCTGGCTTGGGGTGCTTCAGCACTCAGCCTGAAGCGATAGCAAACAGATGTTATTTTAAATATAGCTTTTTGATAACCGTAACCGAAAGCCACAAATCCCAGGATCTGGAAGACGTACAAGAGCTCAGCAACTCGAAGCCTACCGCTCCCAGAAATTCCCACTCAGGCTCGCAAGGTACACCTTGCAGAAACTTAAGAGCAGTTCTGCAGCGTCTCACTCTCACAACTGCAAACTCAGAGCCCTGCAGCATCTCACATGCAACCAAGTCCACCTTCATAGCCACCATCAGCTTTGGGACAGTCGCATCCGCGACAGCCCTTACGTGGTGACTTCACTGGTGTGAAAACGGATTATGTAGTACGATAACAGAAGCTGTCTTCTAAGTTATTGAATCCCTATTGTACTGCTTTATACAGCGCTGACGTGAACAGGACAGATTTAAGGTAGAGACAAACGTAGATGGATGGCCCAATCTTCTGAACTGCTGACCACCCCCATTCAATCTGTGGGCATTTACTGTTTCGGAGAGTCAAATTTGGAACAGATACATTTGGGTAAAATCGAAATTATAGACACTTATATCTCCAAGGCTTTTTTTTTTGTCTTTTTGGATTTTTTTGGAATCTCTCCTAGATGTCCATATGAGAGCTCAGCTCATAATTATTAAATGTTTATTTTGGACTCCACATTCTGGCTTCAGAAAGTATGGCTTTTAATAATACTCATACCATGCAGAATTACATATCTCGTGGCAGAAAGCAGAAGCTGAATCTTTCTCTGTATTGCACACCCTGACCTCCAACCCAATCCTACCACGAGGCAAAATAAGACAAATATTTGACAAAAAGAACACAGATTTCTTGACACGTGCCCTGTCTGCACTTGGACGCTTCTTGAAAAAGAAGCTTGCCTGTCTGCAAAATATCTTCCTCTTGCCTATCATCAACAAAAAAAAAATCACACGGCATCTTCTGCGAATTAGTGGTGATCTGACAGCCACGGTGAGAAACTCGGAACATGGGAGAGAAGCTCAGGACATGGCGAGCATTCGGGTGGGGTGGATTTGGTGCCACTTCTTACACTCACGCAACACCAGAAAGCAGCCGACGGTACAACCATCTTTGCAAACCACCACGGCGTTGATGCGTGGGCCAAAGCTGCTGGGACGCGTTCCCGAATGGAAACCGCAGAGAACCTTAGAAAGAAAAATCCGCTCCTGGGATCGCGCTCGGGAGGTTGGCTCCAGACACGGCGCCCGCCAGGCCCCCTGCGCTCCCGTGAGAGGGGCCCAGCAGAGCCTACCTGGATTAAGCAGGACAGGAACGTTTCGGGTCGAAAGGCCTTATTTAAGACTAGGCAGTTATTCCCGTGCCGTTCCCAGGCTATATTAGGGCAGAGCAGCCGGCTTCGTTCGCTCTCTAAACAAACAGAAGGACTCGCTCCTTCGACGTTAGGCTTAACCACGCACTGCCTGGGTTTACGCTAGCCTTAAAGTATCTCGCAGCAGCGCAAAGCCACCTTTTACCTCTAAAATAAATAACGTGAGGAGCTTATCCTAGGTCACAGCATGAGAATGCAGAAAGTAAAAGGCGTTGGCTGTAACTGCACCACTAATTCTCTTGGGAGTCTCTGCTCCGGTCCCGGAGCCCGGGAAGCTGCCCCCGAAGCAGCTAAGCTCCGAGAGCATCACTTTGGGGGTGGAACCAGCAGTTATTTTATTAGAAGGTAGCTTTCAGAGTACTGACAACTTTGAACTCGAGCAAAGCACTGGTGTACTGGATTATTCCATCTTTTGGTCTTAGGTCTTTAAAAAACAAGCGCAAGCATTTAACTGAGTGTCAAAGAAGAGACGTAGCGGCTCCCAGACGCCTATGAATGGGAATTATGAAAAGAAGCCGTAACTTGTCTTTCAGAGTTGACAGTAAGACCTAATACTGTCTTTCTAAGTTCAAAAAAAGGGCATAAACTGTTTTATTGCCCCTCTCTGTGCGTGCTATCCAGTGAATACTGCAGTGCATGCGGCTCCCCAAGGCTCGCTGGGGAAAGCGGAGCGCCCGGTCGCGGACACAACTGGCCTGCGGTAGACAAGAAGAAAACGTAATACCCTGACTCATCACGTGTCCATAAGCATTTAAAGGGGTTTGAGAGACTGCTAACTTTATGTCCTCGTTCCAACAGAAAATATATGTGTATATGTATATAAAAACTTGATATATAAAAAATACACATTATATATATATAATGTATATATGTAGTATCTATACATACAATGTATAGAGACACACACACACATATATAGTAATGGAGCACCAATGGACACTCGTGGCGCCGATGTGACACCCCAACGGAGCACTAACCGTACTATCTCAGCTACATTCAGCTTTAGGTGGAGAAGAAATGATTTCTGATTACATTGCCCTGGCACATACTCTTGCCTTTCCTAATCCCCATAAGATAAACGCCTTCTCAAAAGCTTACCAAAGATTATTTCCCTTTGCAGCAATCAATTTAATACATCAACTTTTACCCGCTTGGAATTTGTTGTCTTTAATTTTAAAACAGAATTGCTCTGAACTTGGACACCATCTCGGGTACTGAAGTATGAGTCAAAACTGAGAGAGATTTACTAGGTGTTTGCACTAGTCCAAGGACTTTAATCACAGATATAGCCAGAAGAGTACAAACAGATTGCAGTGAAGTGCTTTTTTTAATGGCAGGGAAAAAAAAAAAAAAAAATCCATGAACACCCTCAGCTCCAAGAAAGATCAGTGTCTCAAAAGACATAGTATGCTTAAAAGGAGAGCAGTGCAAGGATTTTTTGGTAATAAAAACTCAAGTAACGGCTTTACTTTGTACTGCAAGAACAAATAAACTTGAAAATGGGACACTCAGATTCTTCTGCAGCGAGCTTTCCATAAACTCAACAATATCTTCAAAGATTGAAAGAATATGCAAAAGAGCCCATGAAACACGCAATCCAATTTTTGTCAGAGTACCAGAAAAGCTACACTAATGGATATTTCTTTCTGTTAATCCTTAATCTTCAGAAGAGACAGGTAACTGTGCCGCATTTTATGATGGAAATAAATAACAGCTTTTAGAGATGTGAAACGGGCCGCCCTTGTACATTAAAACACTATACATGTTTAGGCTACCTGGCATTTTCTCTGCTGGGTTAGAAGAATGTTCAAAACCGTAAATCAGAGCTCTGCAGTCTGAACATGCTGGATGCACAGAGCGAGGCAGAAGTGCAACAGAACAGAGCCAAAACTCAGCGTGGCAGTAACTTGCAATCTCCTAGCCCTAAAGGCACGGGAAAGAAAAAAAAAATCCAAAACCAGCCACTTAATATGCGTGCACCAAATTCTCCCTGCTGCACTATTAAGAAAAGTCCAGTCTTCATGGTAAATAGAGAATAGTTTGAAAAATCTGGTATAAACATGACTTAAAAGCTCCTAAACCAGCATATGAAAACAAAAATATGAAATGCAGCTCTCATCATCCCAAGCCCATGAGGGGCATATGATGATTTTTTTTTTTTTTTTTTTAAAAAAACCTTCTGGATTGAATTATACTGAAATAGATGCCAAAAGAGGATCAGATGGACAGGAGACAAATCGAAGGTTAATTAGATCAGGGGTCTGGCGAGCTAGAAGGTCATTTAGCTCTGGAGCGTCTGTGTTGCCGGCGGCGGGGAGGGAAGGAAATCTCTGGAAGAGAAAAGCCTGTTGGGGCGGTGGACGAAGTGCCAGGTTAGAAGATCGATTGATTGATCGGGGGCCAAGGGGTGGCTGCCGGCGCAGAGGAGGATCGAATAGCGACTGAGCAGTAAGGTCACGATGGAGCTGCCACGGGAAAGGCAGCGA